ATCATTGAATTTCGCTTTACGCTGTTACGCTGTACAATGACATAATTTTTAACTTCTATAATTTTTTGACGAGACGGAAACAGGAGTGCGTTAAGTCATTGATAGCTGAGAGGTAAAAGTGAATCAGTTGATTGTAGATCATGAAACCGTTGATGATATATGTCGAAAGAAGGCTGCTTAGAGATAATCTTTTGGGAAACATGGAAGCATATGTACATCAGACGGGCAACAGCCGGCTCTACCTCAGAGCAGATAATCTAGCTTGCTTTGAGTTATGACTAGAAGCCATTGGAATTTGGAAAGCATTCTTCTGTTTAGTTTTCACGTCGAAAAAGCGTCACGAAAATCAAGATTTCTATCCAACAGTTCATGGATCGCTCGCATGCATCAATTCAATAATTATGGTATTGCACGAAATAAAGCTAATGCACGAGTGATTCTTCGATGACTCATGCACATGTCCGATAGATGGCTTTAAAGAGTGGTATGCTTTTCACAATTTAATTTAATGCCCACAGCTGTCAACTACTCTGTTACTCAAACTAACGCGAAGGTAGCCCTTGTATAATAAAAATAACCGTGAGAACACCAGAAATGGCTAACTCTGTCGTTTGGTCCGGGTGCGTGAGCAGGAATCGGTGTCTCCAGAACTGCCCCGGAAACCCCTAGAGAACGTTGAATTAAAAATTGTCCTCCAGCCGACAGTAGCACTACCGCACAAGCTGAACTACCACAGTATTCTTTCCTTGCTACTAATAAACTTCACAGCTGGCTATACAGGGGTGAATGAGTGACTATCGTTCACCATATGTCTTAGAGAGCGATATGGCTGTTTATCAACGGGTATTTGTGGTACCATCGAAGTTCAACTTTCTGTAAAGACACACGTATAATGCCAACCTTGCCGCTATTATTTCTAAAATTAATACATGTCCGCATTGAACTTACAGGTACGTCTGAGCAATGGAGGAATTCAATTTATATAAATGTGAGCTGATCATCCTTTGGACTTCATCTTTACGCGCAATCTTTAGTTCATCCTTGTAACTATGCACTCGAAAAGCATCAGACTCAAACCTCGAGTTTTCTAAAAATTATCTTTTAATTTGCAATAAAATGATTTACTGACCAAAAGTGCTGTTTCATTCTTGTTGGGACTAATCCACAATGAGTCCTTGCGGGAGCAATTACAACAATTATTCGACGAAGATAGCGTCTGTGACTTCTTACGTACAATACAAGTTTTTGCCAGCCTCACGCATTCATATTGCACAAGATAAATGTAATTAAAAAATAAATGTCTTTTTACGTCCTTTTTTATTTATTGAATAAACAATTGTTCCTTCAGCATTCAGGAAGTTGCCTGGGAATACGGGCTGTGGTAGAGCGGTTCAAACCCGAGACTCCCACCACCGCCCAAAATGAGGAGGACCGTTGATCGGAATGCATGTTTTAGCCAACAACCCCAATGTTTACGTTATCGTTGCCTGTTCGGACATAAAGGTAGTACGCGCAGAGAGTGAATTCTAACTGGAAAGAAACTAACGGGGTAAAATGTGGATGAATCATCAGTGTTATCGTAAATTGTTCAACGTTTATCCAATAATGAATCTTGGTAAAAGATCGCACGCCTAACATTTTGCTGGTTTTCTTCTGTCGAAATGCAGACACACGCATCTACTGATGTTAATCCAAGTTTCCACAGCTATGTCATCTCCCTTCCCAAGATCGCATTGATATAATACACGTGTCCAAAGCCATTCTCTGATTGGCCACATTAGTTTGGTACTGATTGGACGAGCGCGTAGCATCAACTCCCGTTTACCGATCATTTGTCCATGTGATGCAACCGGAAACTAGTGGCTCTCGCGTGCACACGCGAAATATTCCTTCCCGAATGTCTCTGACCTCGCGGCCGGAGTGCTTTGTGCGGAATTTCAATCTTACAAATCAATGACTTATTGATGTACCGCTTGCTCAACCGATGGACGATCGTTGTGGTTTCGAAGTGATGAACCCGACAATTCTAGTCACTGTGGTAATTGGCATGATTATGGTGAAATCAAACAAGCTATCTGACCCGTGTAAGTGAATCTGACGAATTGAAATGGGTAATTGTGTTTCCTTTGTTTTGTTGCCGAGATTGTTGTTCCATTGATACTAGCAACCATAAATTTGATAATCGATGAAGTAGTTGATGCAAAATGTCTATACATTTAGATTTCAGTTACAAGTACATTTTACAGTCTATATTCAACTATTTGTTTAGCTCTTACCTTTTGCCGCCAACTGCATTCAAAAGGGCTACTTGCGCACAGATATAAATATCCCAACCGTGTTTCACTCATTTTAAATTGGCAAATCGTGCATCACTGAATAAATGCAAATTGTAGGCATTTCAAGACACTCACACATTACTGGCAATGATAACAACTAAACATCATTTGCATCTTGTTCCAAAGAGGACGTATTTGGTACTCATCTCTTCACCTTTGGTAAACCAAACCGACTTCATCCAGCCGCCTTTCTTTCTCGGAACAACAAGCTATTCACCGTTCTCCAACATTAGGTTCAAATCACTTAGAGGAAAGGGCTTGCTTTGAATGATTCATTTTATACTAAATAGACATAAATGATTTCATTTTGTATGTTGTAGATTAATAAATATCCCGGGGGGATAAAGAGGGTGTGTGTGATTCAATCATCAGGCTTGATTATAATTTGTTTTCACTGCACCCATAAGGAAAGCGAACATTTCATCCAATTTTGTATGTATTTGGTGAACTGAAGACAAATCTGACTCACCTGAAACAAACACGTTGATTCGTCTCTCACAGTAGAGGAGAATTTATTATCAGCTTTGTGAACGGCAACCATTATTTGTATCTGCCATGCATTTTGTTCACGTGCTAAAAGTCCCGAATGTCATAATATTCGAGGCTGAAACGCTTGATTCACATATAATTACGGTCCATCTTTATCCAGTCGTCATTATTAGAAGTTTTGTATCAGTAGGCTTCTACGGAGGAAAGGAATCTGATTCAGCTACCGCTTGTGATAAATTATGCAATAAATTCTAACACAAAAACAAACCACTACACTATTGTTGGTACTCACTTCGAGAAAGTGCATCGGCAGTTCCACAAACATGATATTTGTTCTGTTTTTTCAACATAGGGGAACCGCGCGTCAAGCTCAAAGCGACAGAGAACCGGGATGCCTTTAAAGTTGTCGGTTTAACCTGGCCTAAGCTCATCCGCCCAATAGATGAAAGAACTATTGTATTCTCGAACCCGGCTCTGTTGCCGACAAATATCTCCGTGCACGCTACGGTGTTTCATGCAAAAATGGACGCTGAAATTCACACTACAAAACCCCTCTAGATATCGATGTTTCACTGTCGTGTTCGTTACCAATAGAGAGAATTATTTCACTAGTCTGCGTCTTAAATAAATTACCAACTCGCTATGCGAACAAAACGTTCTTTTACACTGACAGCTCTCGGTCCTATATAACATTTGAATTGAAAGTAGGTATAAGAGATATTGTTTCATGAAAACTTACTTTAGGCAATATCTTGCTTTTTCACCACAACTGTAACTTAGAACTCATGATGTGTAGCGTTCATTTCAAATGGTTTTCCCATATCTTATTGGAGGGAGTTATATTTCAAAAGTTAGTAATGTCACTGTGAGGAAAATGATTTATTCAATGAGTAACACATTTCCACTAACATTTTCCAAAGTTATAATGTGCTACTTTACTACCAGTTCCAAACACAAACATTTTTCTAGTTGGGACAAAATACGTGTTCCATTTTGCCATGTTTTCTTAATATTTATCGTCTGTCTGACAATAACCGCTACACCTTACACATCCACAGCCTGTAGGTGTTACATGTTTGACGGCAAACGTCAAAAGTCGGGCGTTTTCAAGTCTCCGTATTATCCGAGCACATACCCTGCTGATTTGAACTGTATTCTTTATCAGTTTTTGGCCAACCAGAGCGAGATTGTAAAGCTCACATTTTGGTCGTTCAACATGCGACGACCGGAAGATCACAAGTGAGTTTTCAATTGATCACCCCAGTGGTGGCCTAAATATATATGATATTACCATTTATTGTTCAAATTTGAATTTATGCACTCTATCCTCTTCGTTTATTGCCTATTCGAAGTAAAGTGATGATAAGGTGCTACTGTGCTTTTTATTCATTCCATAAGTAGGTGATTTTGATGAATATTTGATTTCTAGCGTACCACCGATTGAGAGTTGATCTTGTCAATTCACCTTCTTCATGTTTAGTTAGCTGATAATCCCTTTTCGGACCGTTCAGTTTTACTGTTTACTGATTATAAACTTGATAGCAATTACTGCTGGAAACATAGAACACATACCAAGGCAGTCGATTCGTATGATACATGGACCCCTTACTCCCGATAGATAGTTGCTTACATAAAAACAGGTAAAGACCATTGTTGATAAACATCGAAATCAGTGAAAGTGAACCTTAATGGGAAACAAATATTAGTGAATAAAACAATAATCATTAATTTTCCACAACTTTATAATAAATTACACTATTCATGAAAGGTTAATTTTTTGGATACAGCCTAAGCTGTAATTTTCAAATCTGATTATAAGATATACTCCTCACTGATTGGAAACTAGTGATTGCTGTGTTGCATTTCTGTAATTATTCTCTGGCAATTGGACACCAATGCATCTCTACGTGATTTAGGTAAGATTTCATTTTTCTGAGGAGAATATACATCTAAGATAATGTAGTTCAATAATGAACTTCAGAAACCAAAACCCAAAGTGAACAATATTCAAGTCAACACCTTGTCAGTATTTCCGGCACATATTACTTTAGATTGAAAAAAATATGATACCAAAAAATTGACAAATTTTAAATCAAAAAAGCAGTTTTCAACGCTTCAATAAAAGTTGCCAATCAGTTGGGAACAAATAAACGTACTTTGAAGAAACGATCCAAAACCTGTTACGGAGGAACAGGTTCGACAGGACACGTAAAAAATAAGGAAAAATAGTTTTCAAACGTGTTTTGTCCGTAATTTCATTAGTTCTAAGAAACCGTTAAGCAGATTATGTTTACGTATCTTGTTTTTGAGTGCCACTTTGTTCGTGTGTGGTAAAAGTCAACTTAATTTTCTTGGCTTTCGATCAAAAACACATTACTTCTTCCTAATTTGCATATAAGGGTTTATACGTCTAAAAAACATTTTAGGTAACGTTGATTCGGAACATAATGTCAAGGTATTTTTCGTTTAGCCATACTGATGTCAAAGTATATAAAGAATCAAAATATGAGATTGGTTTGAGTTAGCACATGCGATTTGCGGATGATCGGTAAAATTTCATTTGTTGCAGCGGAAAATTGACTTGATCAAAAAATATCAAACCGGAAAACTGGATGCTGTCAATAATAAAAAATTGCATAAATCGTTCCTACTGCATTCTGATGCGGGCTTCAATGTCAGAGCAAAACCTAAGATTAGCGCAAATTTTGATTCAGACTGTTTTATTTGCAGTGCGTCCATCTATAGCATGGCGAAAGTGTATCTCATGTCAACAATTTCTGCTTATTTTCACAATGTTTTAATGCAAAGCAAATTACCGGGAAATCTTTGATAGTGATATCACTGTTCAGGCCCTGTGGAGTTTCAGCTAATGTTACAAATNGTTTTTCTTTAGTTTCTCTGAAAGAAATTGAAATATAAAACCAGCCTGGATCAGGTCGGCACAAAGTCAACTTTTTGCTTCTGAACTCTAAGCTTCCGGGTGAGACCTTTTCTTTATGAGGTCAATAAATACAACGTGTTGGTGCTTTTATTTGGGTAAACGTATGAATATAAGCTTTGTAACTTTACTGAATTACGTTTTAACTGCACATTATATATATATATAATTGGCAGTTTTTTAAACAACGGTGTTGATTGTTGTTTTTGTAGCTCGGGTAGTAAAACTTGGTGTTCAGTTGTTTGCCGAGCTTGGCAATATATTGTTATCAATAAAACCTATTTTAAAGAACAAATTTCTAAGTAAATGTTGGTTGAGCGTTTGAAATCAAATTGATTATTGCTGAAACTTAGACAACACATTTACCAAAGAACGAATAAAATTACACAATAACATTGAATCCGTATTTCAGTGTGAGACTGAACAAATGCTGATGTACTTTAGCGATTGATACAGGTCTTAAAAAGCTTTCATTTTTTGTAATTTGATATACGATCTTACTTGGTTATATTTATAACTTGATTTTCAAGAACAAAGTTTGGAAGTTATAGCATAAATGATATAATTAGTTGTATAAGTTGGTGTGATGAACACGGAAACCGAAAACCGCTCAAGTGAACCAACTAAAGTATTCTTACTATTTGAAATAACAATCAGTGCAAGGCCACAAAAACTTGCATTGGGAACTAATCCAAGTGACGGCCACAGTTTCTTAGGTTGATCCAAAGTAGATACATATTAAACACAGAGTCCAGCCAGCACTAAGACATCAGACAAAAGGTATTTACAAATTGATAATACCTCAACCAAACTCATGAATTCCGAGGTAGAACGAATATCGCCTTCCTGGAAGGCAGTTAGAGCTACACCGTTTGAACAAATTGAACATCTGTCACAAACCGACATTATTTAAATATCTTCTCACGTACTTAAGCCATATTTGTAACCGGTTGAAATCAGCTGAAAATCTTTTCAGTATACATTATAATCATAGATTGTTTCATGTATATCATCTAGAACACTGGTTGCTATCTCTTCCCTTCTGCAATTTATTGCAAAACCTGTAGACAATTGTTGGAAATAGATTTGCTGGTTTCCTCGATTCTTCTCCCTCTTTTCACTGGGCGGTTTAAGAACTCCGTTACAAAGAATTGAAATCTATTCTTTGTCATCTAGATCTGCGTTTAGACCAAAAACATGACATCTTAAAAGGAGCTCACAATCACATCAGTAAAATGGAGGATTTGGTTCAATTCCATCAATGTAACCTGTCGAATAAAAGCAAAGTATGAATAGCTGGAAACACTGTGCACACACTGTAATATAAAAGAATGTGAGATTCAAAATATTTCCAAATTTGTCATAACTGTGTGTTGTAGTACCAAGATAAAATAGATGTGATGCTGACAAAGCACTTTCAGCGAAGATCTGCTTGTGAGGCTGAATCAGTTAGACGTAAAGCGATGAACCTAATGGAACTTTTCAAACACCTACACTAAATAACTGTGGTACAGGCTACTTGCAGTTCTATCACAAACCACTAAGTTACCGGTTATTATCCTGAGTTTTCTTTCCAAGCAAACCACAAAAATGGAGCTTTCTTAAATTATCTGTACCAAACTCATTTCAATTCTCAATTTCCGGAATTGAGATTGCTTTTTAGACTTCTCTGTATGATGAAATTTACGGTGCTGCCAAATCTCTCCGTTAATCCCACTACCCGTTTAAAGTTCGAGTGTTTTGTGTTTAAAATATTGATTCACTTTTATCTATTCACATTCAAGATTTCGATGAAAAAATGTCAAACTCTGCCCTTTTAAAGATGAATATAAATGTATACCACTGGCGTTCTTCTCATTGAGCTAAAGACTATCCGAAAGGCGGTAATGGGTCTGAAAAGTGTGCTTCGTATACGGACGAAATACTTTTCAAATGTTTTGAACAGTTAAAATAATAAGCCAAGCATTCCAAATTATCACAAAAAAATAGATCGGGTAATATCAGTGAAGACATTGTAACGTAACGTTCCACAAATAGGTTCCGGTTGGGAACAGACAACACTTACTTTATGGTTCACGCACCAGACCGAATGTTTCATTTAACTCGGATAAAAAAGGCATTGGACAACTTTATACCAATTGCTTTTCAGAGAGCAGCTGAGAACTTGGTCACTTGGGCTGCTTTTCATTATTCAGTGAAAGTGCTAAATAAATAACCCCAAATTGATAAATCTTTCCGAGGTGGGGAACAGCTTACATGTGTTGATCTTCCCTTGCAACGCTTTTCATGAACCATTAGAAAAGCCATTCAAATTTGATTTCGGATACTGCAACAACGACTAACCGCGCATTCATAGATAGAAGCGATGTAGTGAAGGACGCTTGGATGAAAGTTGTATGCAGTTAGGCCTTGTACTCGCAGCAAGAGGTGAAAGAACTGGAGAATTCTCGTGCAAACGATAACCACACTATAAACATATCACACTGGACGAACCTGAAGCCTAATCGTCTTCATTTGAACACATAACGTATTTAGAAAGGTAAACTCTAACCGGATTGATACTTTGTTATTCCAAGCTTTCTTGTCAATCATCGTTGTTGGTACGCAATGCTTTTTAATCTCCAGAAATGTAGTTTTGCTGTGATTTTCACAACGTAATGACTATTATTCATGTATTAGAGCATAAGTTAAATAATGTTAGTCAATGCAAATACTGTAATTTATCGGGCGCCGGGAAGCATATCATAAAATCAAACAAGTGGGATAAGTTGTTCAATTCCATAACTCAAACCATAGAGGTTAAGAATAGGCGTCTGTAAAAGTTACTTTGGTCAAAGTCAGTTGATTATTTATGATAGAAAGAAAGTTTGGGTAACTTATTTGATAAAATAATTAGTGGAACACCATGGAAAGATATAAACCAGTTGTGTCCTTCTCTCAATTCATATCACACTCAAAATAAGGAGGGTTCCATTCTTGGAATAAAACATTTGGGTACGCAGCATTTCAGTATTTTCTTCTTCGTTCACTGAATGGCCTTCCAAGTAATGCGTTACTGCTTCGTGCAGTATGTATGTAGTACCCGAGAAACATAAAGTGTGCCTAATGAGTAGTTTTACACATAAGTAATGTGAAATGGCATGTTTTCGTCTTCAACAACCAGCTCAGTTATTTTTTGAAACACCACAACAAGATATATTGGACTAGAAAACCTGTTTGGTTTTAAAGTATATTTTGGTAAAGTGGGCTTGTTGTTAAACGCACGGAAACAGTCATTTACAATTTCGCACGAATGCGTGAG